CTCCAGTAAGTCTAATGCTGGACCTGCTTGGCGGCCCCTCTAAAACATGCTCACAGCCCCCAGGGGGTCTCAGACCCCCTGGTTGAGAACTGCTTCTCTAGGGGCACCTGGCATTGGCCATTGTCAGAAGACAGGATACTGGGCTAGATGGACCTTTGGTCTGACCCAGTATGGCCGTTCGTATGACCGGGACTAGAGTTTTAGCAGTATGAACGGGGAGAGGCTGGATCTTAGAGATGTTGTGTAAGAAGAAGCTGCACAATTTAGACATGGGTCTAGAAAGAGGGCCAAGTCAAAGGTCACAGGCTTGGGTGACAGTGAGGATAGTGGTGTTTTCCACAGAGATTGAGAAAGGGAGACAGTTTTTGAAGGAAAGATTAAGAGTTCACTTTTGGCTATGTTGAGCTCAAGTTGATGGTTGGACATCCACAAGGAGAGAGAGATCAAGATTTTAGTTTGGATAAAAATAATCAAGTCTGGGATGGAAAACCAAATCTGTGAGGTAACACTGTAAAGATGATCATTAAAAGAAATAAAATATCAACCTAGTCTTGCGGCGCTGTACCCCATCTCTAGAAATAATCTCCGAGCAAAGAGCACAGAGCAGCCCAACAGTGAGAGTAATGTTTTTCCCCCATGAGGGAAGGGAGAAAGAAAGCCTTTCAAATTGCAGCTACTTTCAAACAGCCATTATGAGGAAGGAGCAGGGGGAAGGTGTGATCTTACATCCAGTGGGATTGCAGAAAATCACATCATAAGCACATGCTATGTTCTGACATTATTTTGGGATAATTGAGCCATGGTATTGCATCAGTACATAGTGACATTGATGGGCCAATGCAATATCATCACTAAATGGTTCAAAGTTGATGCAGATATCACAATGCAGTTTCAGGACCTTGCTGGCTTACTGTGTGACTCTCTGTCAACTTCAGACGATGACAAATGTCTGTCCAGCGCTCAAAGACCAAATATCTCTACTTGAATTCCCATTCTTACCACACTATTTCCAATTAGCAGTAGTTCGGTTTAGCTGTGGTCTTCACCTCACTTAATATAATTTCATGTTTGCAATCTATCAGCTGTAACCCCTCATTGACGATACAAGTGATTGGATGTTGATCTAGTACCCAAGCTGAGCTTCCCCCTCTAACAGCTACTCTAACTTGGGCTTTCTATGGGAAAGGTGAATTTCATTCAAAGAAACCCCTGTTAAGGTGTCCAAGTACTGGACTATAATTAAAGAATAAATTATAAAAATACAGTAAAGGGGGGGGGAGAGGAAATTCATCATAGGGAGGCAAGGGAAAGAAAGGGAAAATATTGAAACTGCTGGAGTTGCACTAAAAGGATGCCATTTGTGTTAATTCTTTTAGGTTTTAATCATTATTAACATTCATTAACAATTTCTCTTTGTATGAAGTAAAAATTCCTTGGTTATACTGCACTTGGAGTGCTGTACTCAGGCTTTGAATCTTCTTTAAAAAGAAAAGACCAACAAACTGGAGAGGACCCAAAATGGGTAACAAAGATGACAAAAGACAAGAGGATATGACTTATGGAGAAACATTAATGAAGTGTGTAGCTTGGAGGAAAAAAATGATGCAGGACGGGGATGAGGATGGATATAAGTATCTATAAATAATGGAGAGATAGGAACATAAAAGAGGGGGGAGGAATATTTATGATGATGAAGGGTTATAAAATCAGGAGTAGAAGCCTGAAACTAAAAGAAGAAAAATAATAAGGTCAATTAGAAAATGGAATAATTTGTCAAGGGGGATATATATAGCAATACTACCTAGGGTATCAATAAGTAAACTTTAACAAAAAAAACCCTCATAATTTAGTAAAAGCAACTGTTTTTCAGGGAATGGATGAGAGATGATTCAATTGTATATCCATAGATACTTTTATTCGAAGAGTGAAATGATAGTTTGTTGATTTCTTCTCCCCCAATTTAATGTTACTTCATCTTGATTTATCTCATTACCATGCCATACTGTATAAAAATCTTTGTCTTTTCCTCTGCAGATTGCACCATACTCATTCCAGATTATTTTATGCAATTATTGCTGATGAGCCTTTCTTTCTTTCTTCTTTTATTTTCAATGTTTGGATGTAAAATATACTTCTCATGCCGTTTTCTGCATAAAATCATTTTCTGTGAACTTCACAAATAAGTTCTGTCGAAGACTTTTCTTATCATCTTCACAACCTCTATTGAATGTAGGTTTAACTGTAGACCCAAACTTTACAACCATAAGCCACTTTGTTCCATCAGTTTGAGCAGAAGCCCCGCTGACATCAGTTGGAAATTCTGATTAAGAATTGTTGGTATAACTTCATATAAAACTTAGCATCAACATAGCACTTTATGTCTTCAGAGCTCCATACAAAAATTAATGCTAAAAGCTTGCTAAATAGCAATTGGATGGAAGGAAATGGGCTTTTTAAGGATTGGTTTTGGTCATAGCCACATACCCTAAATGTGGTGGGTCTCCTGTGCTCAAGTCTGTTAGGGGGATGGATCTTTATGTTTAGTCTATATGTTCACAAACGATGGGAGTCCCTCAAAGTGCCAAACAAATAACATAAATTGCTTCTAAGCTTTTTCTCAAGAAGGCAAACTATGTCAGACAGCCCCTACTGGGTCCAAAGCCCCATTGTGTTACCCTCTTCCTATTTAACAGGAAACCTTCATTCGCTATTATTTTAATTCTACCCATGAATACACACCAATTCTGGACCCATTACTTATTGCCTCCTTCCTTCAGCTGCCATTGCAGTTTTCATTTTATAAATGAATAAACGTTTGACAGTTGGAAGAAGGTCACACACTGATTCTTGGCCTTGTAGATGTGGATTCCAGATGAGTAACTTCACAGTGACCGCAGATTTGTTTAAACAGCCCTAGATCCCATGGCACTTTTCTTAAGAGTAGGGATTTGCCTTCTTCCCTTGGCCAAAATTTCTCCTCCGGCTACTAATGTGTATAATACTGTGCACTAAAGGGCTTTTGCCCTGCACCCCAGAAGTGACTGCACTTCAGTGGTTTGGGGTATATACTGTGATGTGTGAAGTGGTTTGGGTTCCTTTGGAAAGCAAGAAACTATATAAATATAATTTTTATTGTTGTTGATAGGGAGAGTAGGTAGTTGAGTGAAGAAATAGAGGCACTGACATAATAGTATATGGTTATTTTTCTTTTCTTCTTTATTTTTGTCCCTCCCTTTTCCTCTACCTTCTACCACCAAGAAATAAAGGAGATTTTAATTAAAAAAAACCCAAACCACAAGTACAACTTTAAAAGGATGTGATGTTTCCCCCTAATTTGTAATTATTTTTCTTACATGTAGATTATTCACTCATTTTACCTCAGTTTTCTTCCAGTCCTTCCTCCTACCCTACTGGAAACATGGCATGCTTTGGATATAGATGTGACTGGAAATGGGGGATTTGGGAACTCAGATAAATATAAAATAATGAAGTAGCCTGAATCTGAATTTAAACAGGCAGCAGCTCCCACTCTGCTTCCAGTATCTCTAACAGAACTGCAGTTTTCACTTTCAAGAGTAGCTGGATGAAATGTGATCTTTTTTGTACCCACTCAGTAATGAACACAGTGAAAGGATGAATTCATTGTTTGCTTCTTATCCAAGAATTTTCTGGCACAGCTCTAACCGGGTAAAAATCATGAGCCTGCTCCCATTAAAGTCAGTGGGAGTTCTGCCATTGAGTTCAATTGAGGCAGGATTGGGTTCTTCCTTGTACATGTAACTCTTCTGCCAGGTGGTGACAGCAGCAACAAGAACTGGGTTCACTTTCTAGAGGTTCCTCTTAATATTACAAAACAGAACCAGCTCATGCCCCACCCAGAAATCTGGAAAAACTAAACATCACCTCATGATACCTCTAAGAGATCATATTTGCCTAGCTGCAAGCATTGAATCTCTGTCTAACAAAAGAAAACTTTTAATAAAAGGGAACGGGAACTCAGCATTAATTTGGAAAGATACTGCAACAATGATTCAAAAGGATGCAAACCACAGGTAAACACCTACCCCACAGTAACTTGGACAGTAGTCCCTTGCCTCAGTTTCCAACCTTGCGATATGAAAGTCTGACAGATGAATGTCCCTTTCTCTCACCCCATTCACAGTTGGTTGTCCAAAATCAGCGAAATCCCAGAATTAAGTGGCACGTTCACAGGGATTCACTTCCCATCCCTGAAGTAGGGTCTGAGCAATGCCGCTTCTACTGCCACAGCTCACTGTTGTTACCTATGCTGTTGCTTACCACTGTTTCTTCTGCTGCTCACCACTGCCATCTCTGCCATTAGCTGTGATCCTTTTTTCTGAAGTCTCACCACTTAGCCCAGTTCTAAGTGATTTCAGCTTTTAGTGATTTCACCCAATGGTGAGGAACCCCACTGCAACTACATCCTTTGCAGTGTCTTTCATTGTAAAACTGTCCGTACTGCAGGTCTAACGTTCAGCCCCCTTGACCTGCTTATTGGTGATTTCAAGTCCAATGATCACTGAGCAGAAACAAGGACTCTAAATGAAGTCTGATCAAGTCTGTCTTTAAACACCAGAGGAAAAAGGTCAAATAGTATCTAAAACTTGCCAACAGCATCCTCACCAGGCAGGAACAAATCTCTTGTCTCTTTCTCTCTCTGACAGCCATTCCAGTTTAGAATGGCATCATTCTTAGCAAGTGAGCTTACAATTAGGGTGATTCCCTCAGTTAGGGCATATTAAGTAAAGTTCTTCTGCCCATGAGTCATACAATATGGGTAATAACATTCATTATGCCTATTTTCAAGACTAAAGTGAATTTTAACTCAAAACAGACAAATTAAGCACTTTGGCTGATGATCACCTAGGCAACATAAACAACAAGGAGTCTGGTGGCACCTTAAAGACTAACAGATTTATTTGGGCATAAAAAACTTGGTTAGATGCCACGAAGTAAGTGGCAATGCCTTAACCATATGCGTGTTGTATGAAAGGAGAGAAGGTTAGCACTCCCCTTGATAAGGATGGAAGAGGTCCTAGTGACCTTTACAACACGCATATGGTTAAGGCATTGCCACTTACTTCGTGGCATCTAACCAAGTTTTTTATGCCCAAATAAATCTGTTAGTCTTTAAGGTGCCACCAGACTCCTTGTTGTTTTTGTAGATACAGACTAACACGGCTACCCCCTGATACTAGGCAACATAGACACACCAATGTAAATATGATCAGCTCCTGAGAATCTCCACCTCGCTCACCCCCAGTTCATCAGTAGCTGTCAAGGGAGAGCTCATTCAGACCCTGGCTTACATCCATGTTAAGATTTTCATATGATTTATTTCTCAGCTGAATTTCATAACATATATAAAATACAGCAAGGCTCAGCCTAGAGATCTGTTAATTTGCTCTCAGCTGGAGCAAAACTAGTTCACTATCATTTCTGTGTTAGGCAGGTCAGTGATAGTTATCTCACTCCCGAAGTAATGACACTAGTATTTCTCTTCTTGCAATATATATTACTGGTGGTGCCAGCCTATTTTATTAAGTTAAATTTAGAACTAATCAGAAGAACGTAAGAACGATCATACTGGGTCAAACCAATTGTCCATTAGCCCAGTATTGTGTCCCCAACAGTGGCCAGTACCAGAGCTTCCTGGGAGTGTACAGAACAGGACAATTTGGAGAGATCCATTCCTGTCTTCTTCTCCCAGTCTCTGGCAGTCAGAGGTTTAGGGATGCCCTGAGCATGGTGTTATATCCCTGACTATCTTGGCTAATACCTATTGATGGATCTATCCTAATAAGTTTTCTTAAATGAAATCCTATGTTTGCAATTATTACATTTGACAGTTCAATACAGTAATAGTAACCTGAAATTTCTTTTCTTTCCTGACTTCTTGTGAAACAGTTTAATAGTTCAAGTCCTAGCATTTTTAATATTCTCATTAGAATCTACCATTTGATTTGTAAATATAATGGCTACTTTTAATTTCTGACTAAATTCTATGAAATTAAACTTGGAAATATAATTAACATTTGTAAGGTGTTAAACTAATGGCTTATTAACCATGTGATTTAATTCTAAGTTACTTTGCTCCATTTAATCACTAAATTTTTGTTTTCCAGAAAGATAATTGCTTAATTTAAGGTGCTTAATTCGTCTAGGAAATCATTACAATATTTTTTTTCTGCAAGACAAACAACCAATCTTAATAAAATATGGCAAACAGTTTTCATTCAGAAAAATACAGTGCAGTGAGAAGATGACATTTAAACAGAATGCTGGGCAGTGAAATATTCATTACACACTTGTTAGTGTATGAACCCAGTATAGGGCATTGCCACTGATACATTGGATAGTGATCTAATGAGATAGTCATACACTGAGGTAGCAAACAGGAGTTTTGCAAGGGAAGTTAGATGTATCTGCCTCTCACACTCCCTCTCTAATAAACACTCTAAACTTAGGCCAGTAACCCCACAAACAAACATACAAACAAAACCCCTACAACTGTAAATATAATGCAGGAAGAAGTCCAGCAGCAGACTGGAAACTATCCAGTTTATTTCACGAATGCAGCAAGTACAATTGCCTGTCTTGTGGGCAGGTGATGTATGTGTGCATATAGTGCAAGCAGCTTGCAAGGCGGTCATGGCTCTCTCCCCATCCATCAGGGAGGGAGACCACGTCCCCTTGCTACATTGCCTCTGGGGAATTAGTCGACAGTTATCAGGGCCGCCCAGAAGATTCCGGGGGCCTGGGGTCTTCGGCGGTGGGGGGCCCCTGCCACCGAAGACCCGGCACTTCGGCAGCGGGTCCCTGAGTGGAAGGACCCCCACCACCACCGAATTGCTGTCGAAGACCCGGAGCAGAAGAAGCTCCGAGGGCCCGGGCCCCGCGACAGTTTTCCGGGGCCCTCAGAGCCAGTGAAGGACCCTGCTCCAGGGGCCCCAAAAAACTCTTGTGGGAGCCCCTGCGGGGCCTGGGGCAAATTGCCCCCCTTGCCCCTCCCCGGGCGGCCCTGACAGTTAGTAGGCCCAAACCTGCAGTCCAGGCCGGGCAGCATTTGAATCTGTGAGCCCTGTCCCTCAGCCAGGGTGGCAGGGTGGGGCATCAAACAGTTAATGGCTCTGGAATGCATCAGGCAGAGCAGCAATGAGTCTATAGGCCAAGGAGCCCTCAATCAGGGCGGGGCAGGAAACAGTTAATGGCTCTGGCCTGCAGTCAGGCAGAGGAACACAGCAGTCTAGGGAGATCAGCTCTCTGGAAGAGCAGACAGCAAAACGGCCTGGCATCCTAGCTCAGGTAGACAACAGACCAATACAAGCCTCTTGGCCTAAAGGGGATGCTGCCACTCCCAGTGGTGGGGTGGGGGGTAGGAAGATGCAGGCACACCCGACTCCACTGCGTCCCAGGCTAGGGCCCTAACAGTGGTGGAGTGCTCCGCCACTGGGTCAGCGAGGAGTTCCGCCGGGGGGCAGTAATCGAGGTGAAGTTGGGATGAAGCAACGGTAGTAGCCCACCAGCCCCAAGAATTGTCTCACTTGTTTCTTTGTAGTTGGGGCAGGGTGTTCTTGAACCTTCCCAACTAGGGAATGCACCTTTCCCTGTCCCAGGATGTACCCCAAGTAGGTAGTCTCCCAGTAGCCAATTCGGCACGTCTTGGAGTTAGCCATCAGTCCTGTGGCTCAGAGGGTCTGTAGGATGGCCGCCACCTGTCCTCCCAGTGACAGCTGTAGATCATGACATCATCCAGGTAGGACAGTGCCTACTCAAGGTGTGACTGGAGCAGGTGAGTCATCAACCACTAGAAGGTTGGGGTGGGGGGCAGGGGGTCCAAAAGGCTCGCTGGGGGTAGCAAAGGCTATCTTGTCCTTCAAGTTTAGGTCCAGCGGGATCTGCCAGTATCCTCTTGTCAGGTCGAGGGTGGTAACACAGTGGGCTTCACCTAAACGGTAGAGGAGTTCATCAACTCGGGGCATTGGGTAGGCATCAAATTTAGAAATGGTATTAACTCTCTAGAAATCAATACAGAATCAACGTGAAAGGGGTTGGGGTGGTTCCATGAACTACCTCCCCCGGGGGAGGGTCCAGATGATGTGCTGGGCCAGCAGGGTCTGTCCTGGTACTGCTGTGAATGTCCGGGGGGAAGGCCACCAACAGACATCATGCTTGCTTTTGCTGCGCAGGGGTGAGGGATTGTCCAAGGAGGGGTTCCCCCTGTTCCACTGGAGTGGGGACTAGGGGAAGACGCTGGCCAGTATTCAGTCAGTAATGTAGCCAAACTGTATTCAGCTTCCTTGGGCTCCTTCCTTCCTAATAAGACAGAAAATATCCTAATACCACTATATAAATCTATAAATCCATGGCACGATCACACCTTGCATACTGCATGTAGTTCTGGTCACCACATCTGAAATATATATATTAGAATTGGAAAAAGTACAGAGAAGGGCAATGATAATGATTAGGGGAATAAAACAGCTTCCATAGGAGGAGAAATTAAAAAGACTGGAACTGGTCAGCCAAAAAAGAGACGACTAAGGTGGGATATGATAGAAGGCTATAAAAGAAAGAGAAAGTGAATAAGGAAGTTATATTTAGCCCTTCACATAACAGAAGAATTAGGGGTCACCTGATTAAATTGATAGTGAATAGGTTTTAAACAAACATAAGGAAGTATTACTTCATACAATGCTCAGTCAATCTGTGGAATTCATTGTCAGAGGATGTTGTGAAGGCCAAAAGTATAACTGGAGTTAAAAAAAAAAAGAAAGTTTATGGAGGATAACTCTATCAATGGCGATTACCCAAGATGATCAAGGATGCAACTCCATGCTATGGGTGTCCCTAAGCCTCCAAATGCCAGAAGCTGGGACTCGGCAACAGGGGCTGTATCCCACAATAATTTCCCTGTTCTGTTCATTCCCTCTAAAGCATCTGGCACTGGTCACTGTCAGAGACAGGATACTAGGCTAGATGAACTGTTGATCTGACCAGTATAGCCATTCTTATGTTCTTATTATGGAGTGGCCATGATTTCTCTGCGTAAAAGAGGGAGCCTGTTGAAAAAGCATCAAACTGCCAGCAAATCAGCAATGTCTGCCACTGTGGTGCCATTCCCAGAAGTACAACTGCTGGAAGCATAGTGCTTCCAAAAATGAGAATTCAAGAGGGCAGCAGCTCCTGATTTGTCAGTCTATATATGTTGGGTGGTTCAATGGGAGCATGCTTCTAGAATGCCCTGCTTTTCAGAGGTTCCTGAACACTTCCATACTCAGTCCCTATCCAGTTCTCATGTGAAAGTCCATTGGAATTTAACCAAGATTAAGACATAAGTGGTGTATAGAAATTTTAAAAGGTTTTGTAAAAAATATTCGAACAATGTATATAAGACCAGATCACACAGTTTTTTTCTGGGCTGCACAGGGCAGGAACACACAGGAAGCTTCATATTCCCCACCTCCAGAGCTGTGTATGCATTGCACACAACAGTCGTCTCTGGTCTGTGGGCGCAGGATTCCAAAAAGGAGGTGCTTTATTAGCAATAAATGATGTGGGCAAGCAGACAGAGATGTTGAACATGCCAGTGTTACAGGCAAAGGCTCTAGCATTTGTCTGTTAGCAGCATCACCCCAGATTGGATACCCAACCCCCTGGTGCGACATCAAACTATTCAGATTCCTCTTGAAACCTCTGGCTCTTTTTCTCCAGTTCCTCTTATACTAATAGGGGTTGAGGAAGGAGAAAAAGTCTGGCCTCCTCCTCACAGGCTCAGGGGGTGAGGACAGTGCACAAGGGGAAACAAGGGACCACCGTCCTAATGAGTAGAGAAAACTGCATACATGACCAGGTAACACTCGGAGAGATTATGTCTGCATGAGAGAGGCTGGCTACAGACCACTCTCTACATGTAACAGATATGCAGCAATTGATTAGTATCTTTTGTTCACTTACTTAAATAAACTATGAAACTTAGGCTAATATGTGCAATATTGTATTTTTATTGTTTTCATCTTTGTCTTCTTATCCCCCCTTCCATCGTGCTGTGCACCCACCTGCCACATCATGTCCCTGTTTGGACAGTATGTGGCTTGGGACAGAAGC